CTTAAGGTTAGGTGTAAGTTTCTTTAGGGTAACGAAGAAAAATTTAAATACTTACAATAGTATCCAGAGGTTATGAAATTTCATATAACTTAGGTACCGATATAGTACTAGGTACTATAGTAATACAATCATTAAATGATCAAACAAATATCGAGGAAATAGAAATACGACATCACTTTTTTCAAATGTAAGCAAAAGGTTTCCTTAAATATTTTACAGGTACATGAAGTTTGTCATGTTGTACATACTTTGATTAACTCGCAATAAAATAAAATAGATATACAGGGTGCCACAAAAAGATTGGCTGTAACTACAAGTAAAAATGCTTTCATAAAATATATGGTGTGTGTTAAAAAAGTAACTTTTGAATGTTACGTCCAAACAGTTTTTAGGAAAAGCAACAGAAACAATTTTTCATAGAAATACTTAGTATTTCCAAGAAGTATGTAAATTATTAGAAAAAACAGGAAAAAGTTCAAAAATCATAGCTCAAATGATTAAATTGTAATGAAATGGGTGACAATTATATAAAACTTACTTTTGCACTTTAATTTTTAAACTTTAATACAAAAATAATATTCTTCTGTATATAATCTTCAGATCACTACTGTTCAATCTTTTTGTACTACCCTATACACATATATTATACACAACCCATTAGGTTCAGTTTATCCAAACTTAACAAATAAACCACTCCCTCCTAGCATTCTTTAGATATTTACACAGTAAACAAGAAATAACATTTAAAAAAACCCATTAATGAACTTTCGAGTAATGTGCCTTTAAATACCCAGGACTTTTGAAGTACCGATTACACTTTTCACACTTAAAACTTCTATACAAAAACTGTTGTCTTAATAAAGGGTTAATATAGGGATTCTCCCTAGTCCTGCACCTGACATTACTATGAGAAAAAGTTCGTTTATGCTGATAATTACCTACAAAGTTCTTTAACGACACCATTGAGCTTACTTTTTCCATTGTTAGTAATGAAGATATTCTGTAGTCACTCTCGAAACTATTTGCAGAACTAGGATCATGATGTGTATTTGAGAAGTCATTGGATTCACTTTCATCTGTGACTTCTTGTTTCACTGACTCCATGGTTTCGTTCATCAGGCACTCACCATCTTCATATTCCAATTCTGTTTTTATTTTAATGTCTGGTTCCACTATTACTTCTTCAAATTTAACTATACTTTCTTTTGAATCGTCTTCTGTGTATTCAGACATGCAGTTGGGATATGAGTTATCTTCTGAGTCTAAAAGACAAAAAAGAGAAAAATTAGCAAATCAAAGATGTAAAAAAATATAACCTATACAAAGCAATGGTACTCATGGTACTTAGTTCTAGTCTAAATGCTCTTCAAGATAATCTAAACTGTCCTGTAGATTTCTTAAAACATTTTAGGACAGTCCTCAAACCTTCCAGTAACTTATCTAAGGATAATAGAGATATCCAAAGCTGAAATTCGAAATATTCATTATCCCAAAGTTCTATAGAGGCTCTAAAACATTTTTAGCACTACCTAAACATTTCAGGTTAACTAAAGTGTTCTAGAAACACTTGAAACATATCATCTTGAAATATTCCAGGGTTCCTGAAGTCCTATAGTGCCTTGTAAAATATTCCAGTTGTTTTAAAACCATCTAGGTTTCCAGAAGTTCCTGTAAATAAAGAAAATTGTCCTAGTGTGCGTACTTCAACCCCTTCTAAGCTCATCAAAACATTTTTGCCTTCCCTCAAAACATTCCCTCCTGCAATAAGTTGTCTAAAGACACTTGAAATTCTTCAGAGCTGTTTTGAAACCTTTTAGGTACCTGTAATCCTGCTAAGTCTTAAGAAATATTCCAAATATTCTTTTAAACTATTCAGATTGAGCTAAACTCCACGCTACTCTTAAAGTCCTTCAAGGTGGCACTTATCTCCTAGAGTTCCTTAAAATATTTCAGGTTGCCTCAAAAATCTTTCAGGCTACCTCAAATCCTCCAAAGCCTTTTGAAACATTTAGAGTGTAAGTCTCTTGAATCATTCCTAAAACTGTGAAATGTTTCAGAGCAGTTTGAACACCTCCTACGTTTTCGTAAGTTTCTCAGAGACATCTAAACAAAATAGGCTACCCTAAGGCAATCGTTGACTCATAACAATGTTCCAGCCCAATTTTAGGATGCCCTGAATTCCTCCAGTGACACAAGAAACATTAAAAGCTGCCTTAAATTCTCCACAGCTGTGTGAAACATTTAAAGACAGTATTTCAACATTCCAGTGTTTTTGAAGTGCTCCAGAGTCTAGTGAAACATTCCAGAACAGTCATCAAATCTACATAGTTACCCTAAACACCATTAGAACCTTTTAAAACAATCTAGGCTTGCCTGGATTTATCTCGAATTTTTAAAATAACTGGGACAGTCCACAAACACTCTGAAGAGCTACAGGGACAATATAAATACTTAAAGCTGACCTAAACCCCTTCTGACCTCCAAATATTGGTCTCTCAGACACATCTAAATAAAATAGGCTGCCCTAAGGCAATTGTTGACTCATAACAATATTCCAGCTAATTTTACGATGCCCTAAAGTTCTCCAGTGACACCAGAAACATTCAAAGCTACATTAAGTCTTCCACAGCTATGTGAAACATTCAAACAGTCTTTAAATATACCCAGTGTTGTTGAAGTGCTCCAAAGTGAAGTAAAATATTCCAGAGCAGTTATCAAACCTATGAAGTTGCTCTAAAGACCATCAGAAGCTTTTAAAACAATCTGGACTTACCTGACTTTACCTAGAATCCCCAAAACAACTCAAGAAGTCTAAAAACATTCCAGAATACCTTATAGAGCTAAGCAATAACATAAGTTCTCAAAACTGAGCTAAACCCCTTCAGATTTCTTCAAACTATTTCAAGACCTTCCCTCAAAACAATTCAGGCTGTATGGAGTCCTCTACAACAATATGAAACATTCTAAAGAGATTTGAAGTTCTCCAGAGTCTTGAGAAATATTTCAGAACAGTATCCAAATATACCAGATTGCTTTAATACACTAGAAATACTTGAACCTTCCAGGTTGCCCCAAAGTATTCCCTCAAGCTCCTAAAACAATCTAGAGCAACTTTGAGCTATGTAGGATGTTGTATAACATTTCAGAACACTCCTTCATCAACTTAAGACAGTTATCCACTATTTCAGAAGCCCTGAAATTCTCCAGGGACTCTTAGAAACATTCAAGGCTGCCGTTAATTCATCTACAGTTCCATACAAAATTCAAAGACAGTCTCTTGTTCTTCTATGCTTATTAATTTTATAAACAATAACCATTAATTGGATCTTACCATTAAATACATCATTGAAAAGTGGCAGATCTTCTTTTGGTGGCATAAAGTATTCATCATCCTCACTGTCACCACTATCACACAGATTATCTTTGTTTTCTATTATATAGAGCACTGTATTTTTAAACTCTGTAAAGTCTTTCCTAAAGAAGTCTGTTGAAAATGCTGTTAATTTTTCTAAAGGTGTACTCTCATAATTCGAATTCTTATCTAAGCTAATACCAAATTCATAGTTATTTGTAAAATTAATAATACTCTTTAACCCTCCTATAATTGGTTCAGGAGGTGTTTTGGAATAATCTAGGTACTTTTTAGACCATTCTCGTTTGTTTGGTTCTGTGTTAGACAACAATCTTTTAAGGAGTGAGCAACGCTGCTCTTTTGTAATTCGTTTACGCTTCTCTCTAGTATAAGTTGACTCACTGTCTTCTATGACATCATTAAGTTTATAACAACTATCACTTATTGGAGTTACAAATACATGTAAGTCTGTGTTAATAAAGTTCTTCAAATTCTCATCATTTTGTTTAGATACCAATGTCCTGTAATAGCTATGTAACTTTTTAGTTGACTTTTTGCACATATTAAGAAATTCGTAAGAGGTTCTGAGTTTAGAAAGACACTGCAGGCAAATTTCAGTTGAAAGACTCTCTCCACTGACAACCTAAACAAAAAAATCAATAAGTTATGAAGACATAAAACATTCTTTAACATTACCATTTTGGTGCAAGCTTCTAATTTTTCACTCAATTTGATTTTGTCAAAATCGACAGTATTAATATCTAGTAATTTTACATCTGTTTGAACACATATTCTACAAAATTTTGATATATAATACATTTTATATTGCTGTTTAACAGTAAAAAAATTATAACATCAATCATCGGTCATGTCATCTTCTTGTCAATCTACGGGGACAGTTGTCAAAAAGTCACAAATAAACAAGGTTGTGTATAATAAACCGCTCTGGATTCTATGGGAGTGAGTATAGAATCACCAAGTGCAGAATGAGTAAATAATAACATTGTTCTACAATAACGTCTAATTGTCATATATAAGACTAGGAAAAATAAAGAAATAACGATATACTTCTAAGAGTAATTCTACACCTACAGTTAATCTTTCAATCAGCCTTATTCGTTGTAGAAACACAAGTGCTAGTCGTATTTGTTTTTCTTAATTAAACAACTTAAAATTTCTTAAAACAACTGACTTGCTCGTAAGATTACTGTATACATTCAATACAGTTATGAGACTGTTCTATATAATACATACAGTTTTATTGCAGTTCTATTTAATCATCATCATTCCATCAGTAAAATTATTAGATGGTCTCGATTTTTAAACTTTTATATTCGGTTTTATGTTATAGAATTACGAATATGTTTTGTATTGGTTACCTGCGTTGCTTTAAAGTTTTCTTGTTAGAAATTTTATTCACAAATTGAAGAAAATTCAGTCTGATAATAACTACTGTTTTCGTCATATGTAGAAGGAGTTGCATATCTTTGGCGTCAGCTTACCGTCCGTCACCTTTCACATTCTTGTGGTTTATGGCTCCATGTCAAACCTTTTCATGTTTTCACTTTAAACAGTGGTGTAGATTTCGGGTAACATTAGTGTTTGTTTTTGTGGAAAACCATTTTCCACATTTTCTTTAACAAGAAAAATGGAAATCGCCAACGCAGTGGGGACTACTCCTGGAGTAGCCCGAAATCCGCGAATTATGGAAGGAGTAGGAGCACGGGTAGTCAGAGGCCCTGATTGGAAATGGGGAAAGCAGGTTAGAATTTTCTCACACTGAAACAAAATTTTTAAAGTAACAATATCTCATAATGATAGTGGCTGAAAGTCATATATAAATACCATGACAATACGGGTATTGTATGGATACTGATTTCTTACAAGAAACTATTTGGTTTATTTTTATTTACACAATGACTGTTTACTATTTATTTGTTACTTTGGTGTCTTTCATTGGCATCTTATTCTGGATACGTCGATTTCTAATCTTTTGCATAATATTTGATATAAGATAGTTCCCCCTTAATGCAAATTCACCCGAATAAGAGTGCCACAGATGTGCATACTATGAATATCACTCTGAAAATCTTCTATTAGCAGTAGTTTAAAAGTACTAGAAAGTCTACACCATTTTCATATCTTGCATATAATTTTGGACCATTTTAATAGCTTTATTCTTTTAATGGACCAAAATAGACTTGATAATTTAAAATAATGTTACTGAATGACATATCAAGCAAATATGTTGAAAATTCAGACAACTCAACTTTTGCTATGCAATTACAGATCTACTAGAGTTATTTAAGTTATTTATGGAATAATATTCAATATTTATATTAATATGTAGGATATTTCTTCACCCTATGAAACCCATACCTTGATTGACCTTTAGCTCCTATATATTGGTAGTTGTTTCCTGTTTACACTTTTTGATGTTGAGTAATCTTATATATTTAATTCCCTCATACAATCTGCAATCATTAAGTCATACTTAATTCTATTTATATATATTTTAATTGTCTTTCTCTCTTAGTTTCTTATTTAATGATTCTACTCCATATTTTGGTGAATGAAATGGAAGGATTTCCTAAAAATTCATAACAATAGAATCTCAGTAAACCCAAACAGTAAAGTCTAACAATAGAATCTCAGTAAAACCAAACAGTAAAGTCTATGAGACTGCTATAACACTTATATAATGATGTCCTGAAGTTTTGCAGATACCAGCAACATTCACATATATACCAAACTCTTCCACAGCTTCTTAATATATATTTAAAACGGTCCGAAGTACTCCACTACCTCGTGAAACATTAAAGGACAATTTTTAAACCTTTCAGAGTTCCTGAAGTGTTCCAGAGTCTTGTGAAATTTTCCAAAAACATTTTGAAACCTTCTAAATTACCCTAAACGATTCCAGAGGTATCTAAAATTACATTCCAAGTCATTTCAACTCTTGAAACATTTCATTGTCCCTGTAATCCTTAAGAACTTTGTTGAATAGTCCACACCACTCTTAAAGCATTTCTGGTTGTCGTAAAGAACTTCACTGGCCTTTAAAATAAGCTAGATCAACCTGGAGTTATCTAAAAATACCCTAAAAGTTCCAAAAGTCACCCAGCGACAATTTAAATACATAAATCTAACCTAAACTTTACTAGAATGACTCACAAAATAATCCAGACTATCTGAAGTCCTCCATAGCCTCATGAAACATTCTAAGGTAGCCATGAATAGGATAATAACTAACAGTTTAATCAATTCAAAAACTTCTGCATCTATTGCATGTTGTAATTTTAAAAGATACTGTTTTTTATAGGATGGTGGTGAGGGTCATGTAGGCACAGTCCGAAACTTCGAATCTCCAGACGAAGTCGTGGTAGTTTGGGACAATGGTACAGCAGCAAACTACCGATGTTCCGGCCAATACGATTTAAGAATCCTGGACAGCGCTCCTACTGGCGTGAAACATGAAGGTACTATGTGTGACACATGCCGTCAACAACCGATTTTCGGCATTCGATGGAAATGTGCCGAATGTGGAAACTATGATTTGTGTTCTGTGTGCTACCACGGAGATAAACACCAGCTGAGGCATCGCTTTTATAGGATAACTACGCCTGGGAATGAAAGGGTTTACCTTGAAACACGTCGGAAGACGAAAAAAATTGCTATTAGAGGAATTTTTCCTGGAGCTAGAGTTGTGCGAGGAGTTGACTGGCAATGGGAGGATCAGGATGGAGGAAATGGAAGGCGTGGAAAGGTAAAGTCTCTTATTGTCATTACTTTAGTTTATATTAAATTAGAAATAGTAGTTTTAGTAATATCGTAAGTAAGTATATTGTAATTCAATATATGAAATAATGGACAAAGTAGTCCAAAAGACTGAAGATGTGAAGCCATTAATCAATGCATATTATACTTTAAAAAAAAATAATAAAAGAACTGAGGAAGAATTAGCTCTTCGAAGCATAGACAATCTATATCAAAGAGTTACTTGAATAGCAAGGTTTAAATTCTGAAGATAAACGATGCAAAAACAACAAAGAAAATGTTACAATGGAAGCCCACAGGACACAGTGAAAAAAAGGAAGGCCCAGAACGAGATAGTTGGATGACGTGGAAGACGACCTGAAAACAATGAACATAAGACAATGGAGAAGAAGGGCACAAGAGAGATCTGAATGGAAGGACATAGCTAGACAGGCAAAGACCCATCCAGGGTTATGATGCCAAAAGAAGAAGAAGAAGAAGAAATTCTGAAGATTTGACTCACACTAAGAATAGGACCTAAAAGTATATACAGAAAATATAATAGTCCCTTACAAAAAGGTAAATGGTATATTATCACTAAAACTATAATGCAAAATGAACAACATACAAACTTTGAAAAGTTCTACAATCCAAAGTGCACTGTAATGGAGTATAGAAAATGCAATATGGAAGGAGAGTGAGAACTGAAGCTCTTGACTTAATTTTTTCCAAATTTTCTATTATAAAATATTTGTATGTGCAAGATTCAACCATTGTATGGCAATCAATTTATTTTTATACAGCTTCATCTAGTTTTTTTGCGTTTCAACATAGCAAATTAAATTTGCAGCAAAGAAGCAATTGGCCAGCCAAATGACCTGATGAAATTTTCACTGGATCTTCTGTTATAAATTATTATTACATACGATTGGGATTTACTCATTGTCTTTTTTTTTGTTCTTTTCATCAGGTTCAAGAAGTTCAAGATTGGTCTGCAGCCAGCCCTAGATCCGCAGCATACATAGTTTGGGATAATGGTTCCAAAAACTTATATAGAGTTGGGTTTGAAGGAATGGCAGATTTGAAGGTAGTAAATGATGCCAAAGGTCAAAACGTCTATCGAGATCATCTACCTTGTTTGGGCGAACACGGTCCTGGAAGAAACGCTCCTCCTGGATTAAAGATTGGAGATCAGGTAAGAAAAAGTATATTTTGTTATATATTCAAATTCACATTCATATATTGATGTAAGTTGGCCAATAGCCTAGCATACATAAAAAATGAAAGCAGAACAATAGTTCTGTTAAAAAATTTAAACTCTAGTTACATAAAATAAAAACATAGAGAATACATTTCACACACAAAATTTCCTTAATTTTATTTTTAAATTGAGTTGTGGAAAGATCTTATATTACTTTTATAATAATATTTTTTTCTCTGTACTTCTCCAATGTAATTTGTGGCTTCTACAATTTAGGCTGCTTGGCCACTTACTTTTAATATTATGCAGCTCCTATTCCTCCTCCTACTTTTCCACCTAATTCCATTTTCCTCTCAAAATTTCGCCACAAAGTGCTACAGAGACACTAAAAATATGCAAAAGTGTCCCGGAATCATCCATAATTCTTTGAAACCTTCCAGAATAGTCCCTAAAGCCCTTTGAAACATTTCAGGTTAGCATTGAAACTTTACAGGCTCCTCTAAAGTCTTGTAGGAACCTCTAAAACAATCTAGGCTGCTCTGGAACTATCTACAACTTTTTATTATAGTCCTCAAATGTCCTAGGAGGCTCTAAAGTGCCCCAAAGATACTCAAAACATTGAAAATTGTTCTGGAATCATCCATCATTCATAAAACAGTTTATAATTATCCTGAAAACCCCGTCAAACACATCAGGCCAACAATGAAACATTACAGAATCCTCTAATGTCTTGTAAGAATCTTTAAAACAATCTAGGTCACTTACAAACTATTAATGACTTCTAAAACATTCTATTATAGTCCCCAAACCTTCTACGATGCTCCAAAGTGCTCCAGAGACACTCAAAACTTTCAAAATTGTTGTACAAAATCTTCTAATGTATTGAAAGGACTTCTAAAACAATCTATGCTACTTTGGAAATATTTTGACATCTAAAACATTTCATAATAGTCCCCAAAATTTCCGATTCCAGATGATCCCAAGTAATCCAGAGACATTCAAAACATTCAAAATTGTTCTGGGATTATCCATAATTCTTTAAAACCAATTCAGAATTGTCCTTAAAACCCATTAAAACACTTTAGCTGAGCCTTGAACCCCTTATAGGCTCATCCAAGTTCCTGCAAGGACGTCTGAAAGAATCTAGACTATTTTGGAACTTCTAAATCATTTTTTAATAGTCCCTAAACTTTATAGGATGCTTTAAAGAGCTCCAGGGACACTCAAAACAGTCAAAATTGTCCTGGAATCATCCATAGTTCTTTAAACATGTTCAGAATAGTTTATAAAACTTTTTGAAACCCTTCAGGTCAGCATTGAAACCTTACACGTTTATCCAAAGCTCTGCAAGAACCTCTAAAACAAACTAAGCTGCTCTACCTATCCTTCTATACCTCCTTTCACTTGTCTCATACTTTCCTTATCCTTCTCATTGTCTTCCTATTCATTCTTCTACTTTCCCCTATATTTTTTTTATTCTCTCAAAGTCCTACTCCATTCATTCTTCTATTTTCTACAACCTTGTAACACATTAATCGAGGGACAGTGTTTGTCGTATGCAAAGTAAACGGTGGGTTGGCGTTACGACATTCTCACTACAACAATAAATAAATAAATAATAAAAAAAGAGAATTAGAAGATGATACCCCCATCGAGCAAAAAGACAAAAGAGGGAATGTAAAGGTAGTGGGGCAAAAATATTGTTACACAGGAAGTGCGATCTTTAGAGGCCACATTAAACAAGAAAAGAGAGTGTTTCTCCTTGTTTGACATCAAATTTAGTTGGGTTATGTTATTGTTTGTCCCAAATGTCACAATCTTATTTATATTGAAGTTTTTTAACAATTGTGTCGCATTTTAGACTATTACCGTTAATAATTAATTAAAACTTTCTCGTCTAAGACACATTCTGAAAAATATTATATAGTTACTGTTAATAAGTGTCGGAAAATTTAAATTTGGCGCATTCGCATTTCCGGATATGTCCGCCATCAGAGGCCACTTTTTTGGTCTCCTTTTCATAAGGATTAGATTCCCTCTTTTGTCTTTTTGCTCGATGGATACCCCCCTCGAAACTCCGGCCAACATATGCAATAAAAAGACAGAAAAAAAAAAGATTAAAACCCAACAAAGCACCTGCACCTGATAACACACAAGCTGAAATATTGAAACTATTTGAAAACAACAAACTCAAAAACCTAACGAGAATTTCCTACAGATTAGTTAGTTTCCACCTTCCTCCCTCTCCCCAAAAAGCAAATGCCACCAGATGCTCTGATTACAGAATTATAAGCTTAATAAGCCATACACTCAAAATCCTTCTTTCTGTTATTCACTCTCGAATATATAGAAAACTTGAAGAAAACATTAGCAATGTTCAGTTTGGGTTTAGAAGCAGACTGGGAACGCGAAAGGCCCTATTTTTCATACAAGTATTGATACAAAGAGCTCGAGACGTAAATTGCGAAATCTACGCATGCTTTATACACTTTGCAAAAGCATTTGACAAGTTGCAACATCAAAAATTATTTCAGATACTGAAAGAATCTAGTATAGATGACAAAGATTTACGCTTTATTAAAAATGTACTACGCCAACGTTAATATTAAACTGAGAAAACAACAGAAAAAAAGTAAAATTCAGAGACTAGATTTGTCAAAGCTTGAGGGTGAAAAATGTCAACAACAAATAAATGAAGCAGTTGCACCAGCATTCGCAGAGGCGTCAAAAAAAGATATTAATAGTGCCTGGAACGAAATGAAATCGGCAGTACTTAACGCTGGTAAAACGTTTGTGGGTAAAAAAGAACCAATTGCCAAAAAAGACTGGATGACACCAGATATTATAAACCTCATAGAAGAAAAACGAAAATACAAAAATACAAATAAAGAGAAGTACAAGCAAATGAAGAAACTAGTAGAAACGCAGATCAAGGAAGCTAAAGAACACTGGATGGTAGAAAATTGTAGAGAAATAGAAGAACTTAATATGAAACACGACACACATGGGCTACATAAGAAACTGAAAGAAATTACAGGAAATAATCGGAAGAGAATACCACAAGTTATACGAAACTCCAAGGGGGATCTCCAATTATCAGCAGTAGAAAAACAACAAACTTGGGAGAAATACATCAAGGACTTATTCGCAGATAATAGGGAAGAAATAAATGATACATTACCAACTAATGAAAATCTAAAAATTCTGATATCAGAGGTTAAACAGGCAATTAAAATCTCAAAAAGTGGTAAAGCGCCAGGTCCCGATGAAATTCCTGTAGAGATATTAAAAATCCTGAATGATGAAAATATAGAGTGTCTAACTAAATTATTTAATAAAATATACCACGATGGTCAAATCCCGGATGAATGGTTAAAATCTATCTTTTTACCCTTACCCAAGAAAAATAATCCTAAATCTTGCGATGAGTACCGATTAATTAGCCTTATGAGCCACACTTTAAAAATACTACTCAAAGTTATTCAGCAGCGTATATATAAAAAATGTGAAGAACAATTAGACAATACACAGTTTGGATTTAGATGTGGAATGGGAACAAGAGAGGCACTGTGCGCAATGACGGTACTATTACAAAAATGCAGGGAATATAATAAAAACGTATTCATATGTTATATAGATTTCCAAAAAGCTTTTGATAGAGTCCAACATGGTAAACTCATACATGCATTGAAACACATACACCTAGATCCCAAGGATATTAATTTAATCAAAAATCTGTACTACAATCAAACAGCGGTCGTACGGGTGGAAGATAGTGAGACAAACCAGGTGGAAATTCAAAGAGGAGTCAGACAGGGATGTGTGCTGTCGCCACAATTATTTAATGTGTACTCCCAACTAATATTTCAGGAGGCACTATGGGAAAGAACTGAAGGTGTAAGGATTGGAGGGAGCATCATTAATAACATAAGATTTGCAGACGATACCGCAATCATGGCAGAGAATATAGACGATTTACAAACTCTCCTGGAAATCATTAACAGAGAAAGCAAAAAGATGGGACTAACAATGAATATAAATAAAACCAAATACATGGTGATCTCAAAAAACCCTGTTGACAACATACAACTGACATTGGAGGGTAAACCCCTAGAGAGAGTCGACAAATATAAATACCTCGGAGCAATTATAAACTCACAGTTAGATCAAGAGCAGGAGATAAAGGTCAGAATAGAAATAGCTCGAAAAGGCTTTATAAAATACAAGTCAATGGGTGGAATGCATAAAAAGTAGTAGATGCTATTGCTTCAGCAAATAGTATCTGGTTTGTAGCATTTACTTTTACATAAAAGGAGGTGCTTTGTTGAAAAGACCGTACTACACAACCGAAGTACTTGCTACTGACCTGAAGGTTCTACTACTAAACGTAACGCCAGCCGTAGTGCCCTTGTGCGCATCACACCAATCGTATTAGAACTAGTTTTTCATGTGATTTTTCAACTTTTTATAAATATTTTATATTAATACCTAAATATATATACATATGCAGTAAGCTAAAATAAGTCTTACCTGCCCCCTACTCTCCTACTTTCCCATTTAAAAAATCAAAGTTATGACTGTCACCTGAAGAAAGATTGCTTAAAGTTCGAAACATTGATGCTATAATATACTATGATTATTTTAAAAATCGACCTCTTCGAGTGTTTTGCTTATATACTAAAAATAAATGAGTTAATATGGGGGGTTACACTTATTTCAGCGCACTGTATGAATAAAACTGCACGATTCATGATAATTACCTGAATATATTACGATAAATATCGTCATTGTATATTCTTCCTGGTTTGTAGATTTTTCTACGACGAACATTCATAAATGCTGCCATTTAACAAACATAACAAAAAACACCTAAGCCGAAGTTGTTTATCTACCAACTTCACCTAAACTGAAGCAAATTCTACTAAACTAGCAAATACTTCAAAAGCGTAGTACATCCTTCTATGTATCTGGTAAATAGTAGTAAATACTACGGAGGAAAGCAAAATGCTTTGTAAGTGTAGCAAGCACTACAAAAATGTAGAATTACTTGAAGCATTAGCAGATACTACGTTTTATGCATTACACCCAATGTTTACAAATAAGAAATTGAGTATGGCCATCAGATTGAGGTTCGTCGTATGTTATGTTTGGTCGCAATTACTATATGGGGTAGAAGCTTGGACTCTGAAAGCCCAATCTATAAAAAAATTGGAGGCATTCGAAATGTGGCTATATAGGCGTATTTTGAAGATTATTTGGACTCCAAAAGTCTCAAATGAGGAAGTGTTAAGACGAGTTGGACATGGCAGTTGGACATGGTATCTGGGCCACATACTCCGAAACGATAAATACTCTCTGCTACAAGTCATCATGCAAGGTAGAGTAGAGGGAAGAAAAGGCTTGGGAAGAAAGAAGAAATCTTGGCTGAGGAATATTAGAGATTGGACTAACCTCAGTGTTGAACAGATATTTCACGTTGCAAAAGATCGAGAAGCGTTTAAAGAAGTGATCGCCAACCTTCGTTAGAAGACGGCACAAGAAGAAGAAGAAGAAGAAAAATTTATACTTACAGCGAAGGGCAACTGTACGAGTAGACAACGAAACCTCACAAAAATTCACGATAAAACGGGAAGTATGCCAGGGCTGCATTTTGTTACCGACGTTGTTCAATACTTACTCGGAAATGCTGTTCAGGGAAGCTATTGGTGGTTTAGGAGAGGGTATAAAAATCAATGGTGAAATCATTTATTTTATCATTATTCATTTGGTCAAACAATTTAACGATACGGTTTTGATTGCTGATAATGCGGAGAATCTGCAAACATTAACAGTGGAAGTCTGTGACAGATACGGCATGAAATTAAACTGTAAAAAGACCAACATTCTTGTAAGTAAAAACGACGTAATACAGCACCAATTCACAGCTAATAATGACCCGTTGAAAATAGTCGACAAAATTACATATCTTGGATGCAGCCTAAGTAAGGAATGGGACCATTCACAGTAAATAAGATGTCGTATAGAAAAGGCAAGAGCTGTTCTACTCCTTCATTTCCTTTTTATTTTCTTGATAAGTTTATAACTTTATAGAATAACTTTTATGGTAAAAATATAAAAAATTATGTTGCTTGACCTGCTTCAGCATTTCCTTTTCCGCTTTCCAAGTTTTTATGGTTTAGAAGACATTTTTTGTTGCAATAAAGTATTTTGTTTGTAGGTTAACGTGGATTTAGAACTGGAGATTGTACAGTCATTACAACACGGCCACGGTGGTTGGACTGATGGCATGTTCGAGTGCCTAAATAGTATTGGAACCGTGGTAGGCATCGACGAAGACCACGACATTGTAGTAGCCTACAATAGCGGCAATAGGTAAGGATAATTTACTCAAATTTGCTGTAGTATAAACGTATTTGCAATATTTTTTATTCTTGTGTGAGTAGGTGGACTTTTAATCCAGCCGTGTTGACGAAAGTAGCGACTCCAACGAACTCTGCCGGATTTAACGAAACCCCCCAACAACAATTCGCAGTCGGGGACGTGGTACAGATATGCAACGATATGGAAAGAGTAAAGATGCTGCAGAGAGGTCATGGCGATTGGGCAGACGGAATGGCAGCCGTAAGTACATTGGTAACATCATATTATATTCTTTAAAGTATTAATCTTCAATAATTTTTAAGACTCTGGGCAAAGTTGGCCACGTGCAACAAATCTACAACGACAATGACCTAAAAGTAGAAGTATGTAACACCACATGGACCTACAACCCTTTAGCAGTGACAAAACTTGCCAGTAAAGACGGTACCATGCACGGAACCACGTCTGGCGAACGATTAAGTGCTCTGCTGAAGAAATTATTCGAGACTCACGTATCTGGTGATGTTAACGAAGAATTGGTCAAGTGTGCTGCCAACGGTGATTCACAAAAGTGTGAAGAAGTGTTGAAACAAAGCAACACAGCTGGGGCTGGAATAGGTAAGTGAAATCTTGAAGGTTCATGTAATTTTGTACTAGTATTATCATTAATCTAGCAATATTGAACAATAAAGACCTCTAAAATAATGTAGGTTGGTCTGGAATTTCCAAACATTAAATAGTCCCTACACATTATAGAATACTCCAAGGTGCTCTAGATACACTCAAAACGTTCAAAACCCCTTTAAACAATTTAGGTCAGCATTGAAACATTACAGAATCCTCTAATGTCTTGTAACGATCTCTAAAACAATTTAGGCTGCTCTAAAACTATCCATGACTTCTAAAACATTTTATAATAATCTCTAAAATGCTCCAAAGTGCTCCTGAGGCCCTTAAAACATTCAAAATTGTCCTGGAATCATCCATTATTTTTTGAAATCTTTCAGAATAGTCTCCAAAACTCGTTGTAACACTTTAGGTCAGCACTAAAACTGTACAGGCTCCTCTAAAGTCTTGCAAGATCCTCTAAAACAATCTAGAGGCTACTTTATAACTATCCATGACATCTAAAACATTTTATAATAGTCCCCAAACGTTCTAGGATGCTCCAAAGTGCTCCAGAGGCACTAAAAACATTCAAAATTGTCCTGGAATCATCCATTATTTTTTGAAATCTTTCAGAATAATCTCCAAAACTCGTTGTAACACTTTAGGTCAGCACTAAAACTGTACAGGCTCCTCTAAAGTCTTGCAAGATCCTCTAAAACAATCTAGGCTACTTTATAACTATCCATGACATCTAAAACATTTCATAATAGTCACCAAACGTTTAGGATGCTCCAAAGTGCTCCAGAGGCACTAAAAACATTCAAAATTGTCCTGGAATCATCCATAATTTTTTGAAATCTTTCAGAATAGTCTCCAAAACTCCTTGAAACACTTTAGGTCAGCACTAAAACTGTACTATCTCTTTTAAAGTCTTGCAAGGACCTCTAAAACAATATAGGCTACTTTAGAACTATCCATGACATCTAAAATCTTTCAGAATAATCTCCAAAACTCGTTGTAACACTTTAGGTCAGCACCAAAACTGTACAGGCTCTTCTAAAGTCTTGTAAGGACCTCTAAAACAATCTAGGCTGCTCTGAAAGTATCCATGACTTCTAATACATTTAACAATAGTCCCTAACATTTTAGGATGCCCTAAAGTGCTCAAGGGATACTCAAAACACTCAAAATTGTCCTGTAATCATTCATTACTCTTTAAAACATTTCATAATTATTCCTAAAACCCTCTAGAACACATCAGGTCAGTACTGAAACATTACAGAATCCTCTAATGTCTTTTACGGACCTGTAAAACAATCTTTGCTGCTCTGAAACTATCCACGACTTCTAAAAACATTTTATAATATTCCCTAAACATTCTAGCATGCTCTAAAGTGCTCCATAGACAGTCAAAATATTCAAAATTGTTCAGGAATCATCCATCATTCTTTAAAACAGTTCAGAATTGTCCGTAAAAGCCGATGAAACACGTCAGGTCAGCCTTGAACCCTTACAGGATCATTTTAGGTCCTGCAAGGATCTCTAAAATAATCTAGGCTACTTTAGAACTAACCATAACATCTAAAACATTTTATAATAGTCCCCAAACGTTCTAGGATGCTCCAAAGTCCTCCAGAAGCACTTAAGACATTCAAAATTATTCTAGAATCATCCATCAGTCTTTAAAACATTTCCGTATCGTACTTAAAATCATTAAAACACTTCATATCAGACTTGAGACCTTACTAGGTCGTCTAAAGTCCTGCAAGGAACTCTACAATTGAGGCTGCTCTGTCCATGACGTCTAAAACATTTTATAACAGTTCCCAAACATTTTTGAATATCCTAAAGTGCTTAAGGGACATTCAAAACGGTCAAAATTGTCCTGGAATCATCCATTATTCTTTAAAACATTTCGTAAAAATCGTTGAAAAACGTAAGGTGCACCTTGAACCCTTACAGGTTCATCTCAGGTCGTGCAAGGACCTCTAAAGCAATCGTAGGTTACTTTAAAACTGTCCATGACCTCCAAAACATTTTATAATAGTCCCCAAACGTGCTAGGATGCTCTAAAGTGCTCCAGAGATACTAAAAACTTTCAAAATTGTCCAGAATCATCCATAATTTGCTCCAGTGAGTGTCTATTATAGAATTCTATATCGGAACTCTGTATGAATTTTTGTAGAGCTACTCTTTCTATGCATTGGCTATTCTTTACCATTCTATACTGCAATTGTTAGGTACGATCGTCCAAGTTCAGTTCATGGTGGCACCCTAATTCTTTCTACAAATCATGATTTTTCTCCTATAACAAAATATGACTTTCTGTTGAATGAATAATTTTGTTAGTTTTCATTGGTTTATAACAAACATCTCAATCTATAAATTCCTTGCATTTATAGATCATCTGATTCTTCCACGGAACTATTTTTTCAGAATCTGTTAAATTTGTTTTCTGCCCAATAAAAGCAGAAAGTTTCTATACGATGACTTGAATATTAACTACGCTGTTGCTTGTGCTACCCAATTATCCTTGGTTAATATATTCGAGTCGTATGGTTTTACAATGCACGATAATTCTCTTACAAGAATCACTAAAACAACATCTACCATAATTGATTATATTGTCTCAGATTTCTCACCCGTTGATGTACGCTCTACAATTATTAACGCAGGACTATCTGATCATGAAGCAGTACATACCAAGTTTAATACTTTTAACAAAGTATCCTTAAAAACTCAACGTTTAGGTAGGATTTTTTCCTCTAGAACTTTCGTAAATTATTTATAATAATTTGTGCTTCACTTCTGGGTGGCACTTTCCCTCTGTGGACGTGGTCTATAATTTCAGTGATTTTTTAAATAGTCTTGTCTGTTTTTCAAAAAGGCATTTCTGTTAATTACAATTAAGTCAAAACATCACAAATTCTAGACTACTAAAGGTATCCAGAAAGGTAAAACCATAAGAAAACAGATAAAGGAAGATTTAACGAAATACCAAGAAGACCGCATTAAGAAAATTATAGAGAAGAACAAAAATTTAAAAACAATGAAGACAACTATAGGAAAAAGAAAACTAATCATGCTTAAAGCTGAGAACAATGAAGAAAGAGATCTAGGAGAAATAGTAAAAATCACAGAAAGATATTACACAGACCTATACAGTTCTAAAAATGACCCACCACTATCATCTAAACAGAATCTCACGAGGAAAATACAAAATGTTGGCTCAGAGGTATTACCAGAAATAACTGAAGATGAAATCGAAAAATCCATAGACGACATGAAAAGAAATAAAGCGGCCGGTGAGGACAAAATACTGGCGGAACTGCTAAAAGAAGGAGGAGACACGATAAAAAAAATGCTAAAAATACTGTTCAACAAATGTCTGTTTGAAGGTAAAATACCCAAACAATGGAGAAATGCCAACACAATCTTAAAACATAAGAAAGGAGACCGAACAGACCTAAACAACTACCGTCTTATTTCCCTTTTGTCACAACTATATAAAACCTTCACAAGAATAATAAACAACCGACTAACCTATAAACTTGATAACTACCAACCAGTGGAACAGGCCGGATTCAGAAAAGGATACAGCACAATCGACCATCTACATACGCTTAAAATCTTAATTGATAATACAATGAATACAACCTTCCGCTGTACTTAGCATTCGTAGATTATGAAAAGGCTTTCGACAGCATTGAACACTGGGCGGTTGAAGAAGCTCTGGTCAATAGTAGAATAGATTCAAGATACCGACAATTGATACAGGATATTTACCAAAACGCAACCATGACCGTAATTCTGGACGACAAATTAATAACGGATAATATAAAAGTTAAACGAGGAGTCCGACAAGGCGATATAATTTCACCTAAACTGTTTACCTTGACCCTCGAAGACATAATAAAATCAACAGATTGGGAAAACAGAGGAATATGTATTAACGGAAAATACCTAAATCACCTTAGATATGCGGATGATATACTCCTGATCTCCTCGGAACGACAAGAACTGGAATTAATGCTGAATGAACTTCATGAAAAATCACTGCAAAAAGGCCTAAAAATTAACTTCAACAAAACAAAAGTAATGACAAACACGGAAGACCAAGAGGCAATAAAAATAAAAACAGAAAAAATAGAACAGGTAAATGAGTATATCTATCTAGGACAAGCAATCAGAGCTAATAGAGAAAATCAAACAGCCGAAATATCGAGACGAGTAAGAATGGGATGGGCAGCGTTCGGCAAACTTTCTTACGTTCTAAAAAATCAAACAATCCCTCTATACTTACGAAGCAAGGTATATAACTCCTGTATCATACCGGTGCTCACCTACGGAGCACAGACATGGACATTTACACAGGCCAATTTGGATAGGATAAGGAAGGCACAAAGAGCGATGGAGAGACAAATGTTGGGTGTATCACTTAGAGATAGAAAACGTAACCAGTGGATCAGAACCAGAACAAAGACAGTAGACGCGATAGAACAAGCAGCAAAACTGAAATGGAAATGGGCTGGACACAATGAACGTCTCCAAGACGGACGATGGAACAATGTCATCGGAAAGTGGCGTCCATACAATGCAAAGAGATCAAGAGGCAGACCACAGATGAGGTGGAAAGATGACATCAGGAAACAAGGAGGTCCCACATGGCAGAGAACAGCTCAAGATAGGGAAAGATGGAGAGAACTGGGGGAGACCTATATCCAACAATGGAAGGATAGAGAATAGGTCCAAAAAAAAGGTATCCGCATATTAGCCAAGAATATGCGTTCACTACTGTACATCAAGAAATTTACTACCAACGTCTTTGCCACTGAATATATCTCCAAGTACAGAGGAACCTATCTAAAACTTATCAAAACAGCTAAAAAAATGTACTATCAGAATCGTCTGGGAAGCTCTAAAAATGTTGCAAGAGAAACTTGGTCCATAATAAACGATCTTCGAAATAAAACTAACACAGCTCAAACATTTTCTCTTCCATACCCTGA